TTTAAATATCTCTTTTTATTTTGTTCTGGCGGTATGTCTGTTTTTCGTCGACTAAGTAACTTTTGTTGTTTGGACACGACTTAATTTAGCCTCATCAATTCAATTGAACTTCAAATGATATCGTTTGTGTAATCGTTTGGTAGTTTTAGGCATACTTTCTTCGAATAAGACACAATTTCCGGGATCTAAATTACATTCAGAAAGACATATGTATAACTTCAACATGCAAATTAGTCCAATTCGATGGTACAGAAATGAGTATAAGTTGATTGCTTAATATAAAAATGAAAAAGGATTACTGTAGTTTTCTCGCAGCGTCGATTATGTACGAAATTGTTCAAGGGTAAACTATCTAAACACAATTTATTACTGGTAAGAGTCGATCGTCTATGTATCTACTATGACATAGGTTAGCAATAGTTTCCAGTGCTTTGTTTACATTATCTACTGATTAGATTGTGATCTCTATTCCTAAGCACGTTTCAAAGATTATCGGAGAATTTAGATATCAGTTTGATTTGTAGAAGAGATCAAATCAATAAATACTGCTTACTACTGCTGAAACTTATTTGTTACGTGGTTTATCATTATTATGATAATAGTAGCCCGCGATGACCATCTGTGGTACACCGAGCAGATGTAGAAACGCCCTTTTAATTTACGTATATTAGTTTACACAAGAATTAAATGTCTTTCAATTCTCATTACTATTGTTCAAATTTATAACAAATATGTACAGATATCCCCACGAAAACTTCCAAAACAAAGCATATCACGCAAACATTTTTTGGTCTTCGTTTGAGCGAAAGTAGCAAAATTAATACACTTTACAACATCTATTGTCACGCCCAATCTCTAACTCCGGCAAATGGTTGCCAGAGTCCTCCGAGGAGACGAGTGAGGTTACGTTTTGGTTTCACGACATCAATCACAACAAAAATATTCCGTTCTACCCTTTGTCTCTGATAATGGTTACCAAAGACCTTTGAAAAAATGAGGGAAGTAACGGGTTTCGAATTCACAACATCAACTAACTACAATGTCCCGCCCAATCTCTACCTCCAGCAAATGGTTGCTAGAGACCTCCGTAGAGACGAGAGAGGTAACGGATTTTGGTTTTACAACATCAAACACAACATCAATTGTCACGTTCCACCTCTGTCTCTGTCAAATAGTTGCCAAAGACCTCAAAAGAGACGAGCGAGGTAACGGTTTTTGATTCCACAATATCAAATAGCAATATGAACTTAATAATTTTTTAAATACATTTAGTTTCCATTTTAAATATGCCTTATAATAAACTATTGATTTTGCTAAGTCCCATTATACGTATATTTTGCGATAACAACATTTCACAAAATATACGTCGTCACATCAAAATCACTCAAACGATGAATATATTTGAAATAAATTTATTTTGAGGGACTGAAAAATTTTACATGAAACACATTGACTTACAATTATATGGACGTCGGGTCCGCGCTAAAAAGTGTCCGAACTTATAGGGCGTTAAAATCGTATACAGAGCGTCATTCACGCTTTAGCCTTCGTTTGTTCGACTGACAGCGAAGCAAGCAAAATTAGACAGTACTGCGATGACATTACAATTTAAATTCAACGTTTTAGCTTTTTCATATTCCTTTACATGTCACTACGTTTAAATAGGTTGACTTGGGACATTCTTTTCGTGGTTTTGTATTAGACCCGTCGTCCATTTATTTGTAAGTCAATGATGAAACACCATAGATTTAGTGTGAAACACTCACTTAACCTGGGCTGTCATGGATTAAACAAGTCTACAATGGTTTCATATTGACAGTTAGTTTTACATTTTCGATATTCTGTATCTGAATGATATTATTCAGTTATTTATTTGAAAAATTTTTTGATTGAAGATCTACGTATTATAATTTATGAAACATCGTCGCCGCACGGTAAGCAATTTCATACTGTTGTATACAACTTCCAATTTGTTATTACCTGGTTTACTGCCTCAAGAACTGATTAAAATTTATATACAATTACTCCGTTATTCGATAACATCCTATATAGGTCAAACGAATGCAGTTTGAAATATTAAAAAATCGAGAAGGAGTAGTAGGTGCACAATTAAATGCCCAGTAGACCCTCTGGCGCGATTCAAATCTTTACAAATAAATTTATATAATTAACTTTACTGTACTATTAAATATATGTCCAATATGTATCATATTTAAAAACATATAGTTGGTAAATTAAAACGAAATTTTAATAGGTAACAACATACAAATACTATGGCAAAAATTTATTAATAAATTACATTTAGTGAAATGTACCGCTAGCTCTTGGTCACTCGACAGAATGGTATATCGGCAACCTTGATTTTGGCGGTCGTCGCTGTGCCGCTGGTGCTCTACCATATGACAGATCGGCTGTGTCATAGGACTTGAAAAGCGGTTTGTAGTTGAGAAAGCGTTATATGTAAAGTTACAGCTAAAAAAATAAAAAATGGAAATGTCACGTAGCTTGCATAAGTTTGAATTTTTTTCGGAATAGAACACTATTAATAAGAAATAACTACTTGAGACATTAAAACGGGAAACAACAAAAAACTATTATCTAGATATGAAGCCAAATTACAGTACGTACTTGTATTTTACTGAAGTCGACTTTTATTACATATGAACAATCCGGTGAAATGAGTGTATTACGATGCCTATATCTTATAATGCAGTGTGAATATTTGCATTCAAAGGCAAATGCACACAGTATCGCGAGGAGATCTGTACATGTGGAATGGTGATACACTTTCGGAATTTTGATTTGTCGATACATTCAAAAGATATGACATGATACTTGTGATGAAATTTAGTACAAAGAATTCATATTGTGCTAAAGTTTACAAGTTACATAAAGCAGTCAATCAGAGCGAAGTTTTAAGTGATTATACAGACGTATTTATCTCAATGCATGTAATAATGCATTTGAAGTTGCATACTCGCTCATATACCGAATTAATATTTAAAAGCTTTCTATTCATTTTTAATAAATTTAAGTGCCTACAATTCAACTTGCAAAGAATGAAAACCGCCAGTGGTAAACAATAACTCGTTGTTTTTGAATACTACCTATTGTTTCGCGTTCCACGCAGAGAATTCTAACAGCACTTTCAATACAGCATTTTACCCTTTTGCGAAATTGGAATTCGATCTTCCGAGAATCGCTAAAGTCGATAGAGTGCTTAACAATTGAACTTAGTACACTTATTGAGTTTTTTAAAGGCCCTGCGAATTTTTGGCGAAATTGACTGAAAATATTTTTTAAATTTTGAAAATGTTTGGCGGAAATAATATAGTTTCAAAATATTTAATTTGTTATCTCTGCTGGCTGATTTAATTACGGATTCGGTAAATGCACTAAAATTTAACAATATGCACCGACGCGTTAATAATGCCACGGGCACCCTTACTTCATGCTCCTGTAAGGAGAACCAAGGTTTGGTTCGGTCTCAGTTTACGAAATAAACATAATAGTTATACACATCTTGATTCAAATATGAGCAAAACTCGTACCATGTGTCAAAAGCGCCTTTATCACATAACAAACATAAAATTTTTTGTGAAATTTTTAATTCTCCTAAAAGTTTTCGACTAATTTCTACATTAATTAAAAGTTGCAGTAGTTTCTGTAGTCATGTCTAATATCATAAAAAACTGTTCTCGAAAAGTTTGCATATACCTTATGTTGATGTAAATAAATTATTTGTACATTACCTGTTCAAGTAGTCGTAACTTCCTCCGTTGTGAGTGCTCCTCCAGCCGGTCGACATACTCCCGCAGTTCCTCGATCTCCTCTTTCACTTGCTGCACCGTGTCCAGCTCTTGCTTGATCGCCACCATGTCGCGTTTCACCTGAAACATTCACGCAAGTCACTCTCCGCTATCTTGTAGCAGTTGGCTCCGAAACCGGATCAAACTGAGATGTTATTAATGTGTTCTAATCGCACTGCACGTGTGAGTACATGTGTCGAGAATATTTAAACTGCTGACCCAACACATGATCTGCTCATCTTCTTTTATGTGTATAAGGTTAGATAATATTGGTCTGGTATATTCATTTATCCTATTTGTTAATACTATTGTAGGGATTATTGCCTTGTATTACTTTTTAATTAGTCTCGGATTTGACGCAGTGCCGTTGCTGTTTTGCTTAGTTTTTTATGGGATAATATTATTTGATCTTGAAAGAAACAATTGATCTATTGTAAATGTGCACTTTTTTAAATAAACGATATTTTTTTTATGTTTGTCATATATGTTAATTGTTCCATCTATATTAGTTGATTTAAAAATAAATTATAAATGATTCATTCATGATTCAAGGTAACACTATCATTATGTTTAATCATATTAAATTAATACTTGGTATTCAAAAATAATATTTGTTCCTCGATTCCTGTTTTAGGTCTTTTCTTTTAACGATTGACTTTTATAACCAGTATATCTTTTGATATTGATCTCCTAATAAATCTTGGTTACTTGCTTGTGCTCTCCATTCAGGTGGTTAGGTAAGGTTAGGTTTGTGACGGTGTGACCTCCTTACACCGTCATCTCACCTCTTTGTATAGCTTCTCTCCTCTTGTATCTTATCTTTTTTTTTTATTTTACTTGTATTTAAATTTTAAATTTGAATTGTTCCATGTTCCTTCACTTTCTCATTTTGTTTTCGTACCACGGTCACTCCCAGCTCAACCGCCACAACAGTCAGAACTGTTAATAAGCTAATCATGTGTAATAATTTATAAGTCTACACCCTTCATGTATCTATTTCTGTAATTCAGTTTCTCGGCCCATTTAGGGGTAAGTGCCTTAATAATAAAGTGTAGGGAGTGTTTTATACTGTTATACCTGTTTTTTTACATTTACGTTTATATTGTTACAGCCTTTCTTAAAACTTTACTTCTTTAATAAATTTTGTGGACCGGAAGTTTCCCATTTCATTGCCGTGAACCTGTTCACGGCTAGTTAGGGTTACAACCCTTTCAGGTTAGTATATGAAAAAGCCGAGCGAGAGAAGCGAGCGTGTTGCGGTAGCCAATTTGCTTTCGTTTCTATTAAAATTAAATTATATTATAATTAACATAATATTAGTATACAAATATAATAAATATATATTTAGTTTTAAAAGTAAGTATCTACATTTTATTTTTAATGCACATTTGTGTTAGTTTTAAGGCTCAACATATATATTTTTTGCGTAGCTCAGACCGGATTAAAATATCGACCGATGAATGTCTCAGAGAACAAGGATCAATTATTAAATTCAAAAAGATGACCTTTTAGATTTTTTGTCTGCTGCTTTTAAAAACTTAAAAAGATAATTTATATACATACCTTTTTTACAACATTTTTTATTAACAGTAGGTTACTGATATTTCGTATATATACTTCAGTGTAAATAATTGATTGTTGGTCAAGCAATAACATTAGCTATTTCATCAATCAATGCACTTCGTGCTCTAGAGAACGATATGAATATCATTCCGTACGAACACAAGTTCGATTGATTCTCTCTAACTGATACAATCGGAGTGTCAATTGTTACTTGTTCTGGCCACACAATTTCAATACTAACGTATCTAAACCCGTGTCTACTGACGAGTATTATTCCGGGTTAAAGCGTCAAATGTGTCCTGTTTGCATATGAAAGGCCTGCATCGCGCAATACCAGTTGAACTAACACAGAAACTAAATGAGGATTAATTCGTCGGGCGGTTGAGGTTCACCTAAACAATTTATTTCTTTGTCAGTTTTGCTTAGGAGGCCTGCTTTATTAATCAAGCCAGTGAATAGCAATAGCAATACATGTTAATAAATGCATTGCCTCGGTGGCCGAACGGTTGCCATGCTAGTCTGCCACGCAGAGGTCCCGGGATCGATCGATATTTGTATGACCTACATTTATGTCTCTCGTAAGTTTGGAATTATTTGTGGTTGTTAATGAGTACGTTTATGGCACCCACGATTCAGGGGTTTCCCTAGGGCGGGGTTGCGAGTGTGTGCGTAATTATTATTAATTATCGCTTTTACTTTCAGAGTGTGTATTAAGAATTATATTTTAAATTACTCAACATGTCGTTTAATTTGACAAACAATAAAAGCTTATTTTACTTTTAGGAATTAATGCATTTGTACCACGTGGACCGAGTCAACATCGCTGCATGTCTACCTATACAATGTTACACAACATATAAAATAAATAGCATATAAACATATGTATATATATTTTAAATACGTTTTCTTATATTATTACTAACTTAAACTTAATATAATATAAAATAATAATGAATAAATAATAAAATAACTTGTTATAAATTTGTTTATATTATAATTTATAATATAAGTAATGCAAATTCTGTGAATCATGAAATGAATTAATTGTACATTAATATTTTACTTCCATTGTTTTAAATATTTTTTTGTGAAAGAAAATTCACAAATATATTATAGTTATTATGATTACAGACAACATAGCACACAAATTCCCTGCGTCGACGTTTTTGGCATATCCAATATATTTGCAATACCACAGCAGGGTCAATAACACTACAACGGCATGATTTGAAAATAAGATTATACGCGTGTCTAAATAAAGAAACATTTAATTTAGATTACGCATTTACTTTATACTACTATATGTACCATACAAATAAATCATTTGCGGCAGTCAGTCATGTTCGGTAAACGCTCATCACAAGGAAAAAGTTATCACGTTCGTATAGAATGATCAATTTTATTTATTTAGGACAACCAAATAGACATATATTGAATACATTGAATGCACATGCAATTGATCAGATGGAGAACATATCGTACATATTTTTGGCTTTTACTCATGTGGTAAAAGTCAGGTATAGTGATGTATTGTTCATTAAGTCTTGTCACCTCGATAAGCTACATTTTGTTGGACTCTGGATGCGCCGTGACAATTGAGATGATAGCGAATGTAAATATAAGGGCTGACCTCTGAGACTTCACTCTGGCATGACTCTACGCTCTTGGTGAGCTCCTGGAGCTGCGTCCGAATCTCGCAGAGGGCGACTGTGGTCTCCAGCTGGCGGTCTCCGCGCTGCAGGTCATCCAGCTTCGCTGACAGATTCATGCTCATCACGCTCACCTGTCTCTGAAGGCTGGTGGACATTTGCAATCTTCATTATAGTCGATCGGGACAATTGTAACTATGAACCTCTGTGTTCAAAATCACAGATAAATTATCACGTTTTCCACACTTTTGTAGCGGTTAGGGAACAAAATTATTCAATATACAATAACCGCTAAGGAGAATAGTTATTAAAACTTGATTAGTTACCTTCGTAATTTTGAATAAACACAATTGTCCTACAGTTACAATTGCACCACGTCGCTTATGTAGCATTTTGAACAAAGCTCGAGAACATGTTAGACAACAATAGGACTAGCACAACAGGGCGCGACTAGCGCGAGAGCGACATAAAGCGCGAGATACTATTATTCTAGCATAGAGATCTCGCACTTTATGTCGCTCTTGCGCAAGTCGCGCCTTATCGTGCTAGCCCTACAGGACTGCAAAATAAACCGACTTAACAAATGTGGGCCTATATAGAACCTTGATATTTTCCGCAATATTCTCAGTAAATTAGATTATTAGAAGAACTAATACGACTAAGTTGTCAACTGAAAATGATTCTAAATATCAATTTCAACATTATTCTTAAAATATCCGACGGCCAATGCATAAAGGACAATGAATTATTAGAATATATCTGGAAATCATAATTGTAGATTTGATGTAAGCTGCTTATTAAAAATCGTTACAAATTAAATATATATTTTATATCATTGTATTTCGAATAAAATTTTCTCTTAACATCATATAATATAAATTACAAAAGTTGAAATAAAATATGGAATATGAGTTTACAATGTCAAGTCCATTCTTGGTTTTATATTGCATTTTATTATTGTTTTCTAAAATGTTCTTGGCCCAAGCTAAACAACATTTGGTGGAGAATCAATGTGAATTAACGAAAAAATACCAAATTTTTCAATCGTCTTAGAGAAGTAACGTTTTCGGCAGTGAGTGTGAGTTCAATGGACTGAAGTAGAAAAAAAACATTGTAGACATTTTAGCCGACAGTTGTTTGTGCTTAATTATCAAATCTGATTACGATTGTATGAAAAAACGATTTTTATACCGGGCACAATTGTTTCATTTTATAGTTTGGTATGCTCAAAAGATCTAATTTAGCATAGATAGTATCCATCCATATTCGAATCGTCAAGACGCTCGAGATTCAGACTAATTCCCCACCAAGTGAAAGCAGTAACGGACTTATTAGCAGAGTGGTATTAGATAGTATAGAAAACCAAACACATTGATGTAGTTAAATCCCGCAGAGGCATATATTTACACCCGGCAAGTTAGTTGTTTAATTAACTATGCACTTGCTTCCACGCGATCTAATATTATTGTGTTACTTTGAGGTTCGGTCAATGTGTGTTCCTTCTGCTTTTAAGATCATTGCGGCTTACCAGTAACACTTTTCTTTGAATGCAGAGCCGGTCTGTACACAGTACTTGTTGTTCGATTTAATACGTTTTTAGTACAAATTCTTATTTCTCTATTATTCAGGGACTTTCTCAATTATTCAGGGATATAATAACACGATTTTAGTTCAAACGATCTTTGTGAAAAGTGTGTAATTTGCATGTACTTCCCGTGGCATAGACCGCTTCTGTTTTCTTGTATTATAGTATGTAGATATTCTACATATTCTTCAAGCGATTAAGGGCTGAAGAGAATGCGAAGCAAGTTTTAGAAAGACAAAAGCAATGATTGCTAGCGACATGATAGAGCCTGCATTACCCGAATGACTTACAGTTTGGCGGGCCGGCTAGAAAGAAGTGAAAATAACATAACTTTAGATAAAAGTAGAATCGGGCTGCATAAACTCCAAGGAGTCGAAGTCCTGTGGAAGTATTCGGAGGCTTCAATGGAGTATATCCAGCGCGTTTCCACTTTGATTCAATGTTGTTTTCGAAGATCAGATTGGTTTCAAAGTTGTAATAAGGTATTAATTTAGTTGCAGGCATGGCTCCCTAAAGGCAATGTACCTTTTAGGGTGATGGTTACGATGGTACAATGATTGTGATAATGGGTTCTCTTTGCGAGCAATGACATTCTAAAACTGTTACATTAACCCATTGACTTACAAATAAACATTAACCTATAATTTTCATTTTGACTATTAAAAGTTTGTGTTTGAACATTGTCTCTGGTCAAAAGATTCTACTGTGAATTCTTCTTTTAAGTTCTAGAATTTCATTCACTCAGGGTATATTTCTACTTCACAGTACATTTGCCACATGAGTCAGTTTTCAAGTTCATAAATGTATACTTACATAGGAAAACTATTTTCAAAAAGACAAAATATTTTCGAGTATGTATACTATACAAGTGATGGTGTGTAATAGTAGTATTTTCGAGAATATCTTATATGTTAAAATATTAAGAAAATTTGTAATTAATGAAAAGAAAGAATTTAAACTATTAAAAAGCTCGTAAAATTAGGTGTTTTATGCAATGAATAATTTGCTAACACGCTATAGATTCACAAGAAATTTATACAGTTACTAATTGACTACTGAGTACCACAGACCTACAAACAATTCAAATTTCCAATGTAAGCCAATAAGGCGAAGACACTTAATCGAACTCTGAATGCATGCAAAAGCTAGTCAGACCTCTCACATCCAGAATGATGGTAGATGAATTAATCCTATTACTAAATTGCTCACTGCATATCTGACCAGTTTGAGGTAAATTGAATTCAACTGTTACATCAAATAGCAGTGAAAGGCGGTTTGTGCAGCTGAAACAATATGTTGATGTCGGGTGTGATTTCATAGGAAAACAAATGGAAAAAGTAAAATTTATCGTTTATTTCTTTGTTCGGATCATGGTAGGGTAATAGGCGATATATTATTTACATCGCACGGTTTTCTTTCATACGTTTTGGAGCAATTACCTAACAAATGCAAAAAATATGGGTTTAGTTATTGATGTTCTGGTGGAGAATAAGTAATATGCATATTCACTACGTAATCAATAGTGAAATTCTAAAAGTTCAAATAACGAATAACTAAATTCTAAATAAGCATTTAAGATCTATTGTCATCGTTATTAACGTTCGCATGTAACCACTGTTGTACCGCGAGTGATAAATGCTTAGGCTCTTTTCATGAAAATTAATAACAGAAATAATATAAACATTGAGAACAAAAATGAGTTGGCTAGTCCAGATAATTGTTTCCCTACAAAGTTACAAATTCATTTACGAACAATATAAATGCTTCTACATTAAGTTACTTGTTGATATTAAAAAGGTTTAAAACTGTCGTGAAACAAAAACTTTATACAAAATGTTGTAACAACGAAAAGATTTTGATACGTGACAAAAACCTATGAGAGTGATCATTTCATCTACGAGTACGTCTGATATTCTAAAATAAATATTGTAAATGATAAATGTGAAGATATGTCTATTGACAAACGGCAATCCATAGAGTACCTACTTTCTGCCTTCTGTCTTAGAAATAATTTTTAATTAATAAATATGAAGTTTAGTGTAATTTGCTTAGCGTAGCGTATTTCATAAATAAAGATGCTTTGAATTATAATTTAAATAGTTCTCGGGATAGTGGGATGCTATCCTCGGGGTTAATTTTCTTACTCTATGTACATATTCTGTAGAATGAATTTGAATTTACTAATTTGATACGTTATATGTCTGGCATACGTCTTGCATACATTTGATGAACATAATATTATGTACGTAATTATTAACCATTCTCCTGAATATAATGAAGCTGAAAATCAGCAATCGTTACGTTTGTATATTTAGCGTACTTAGAAACATATTGTAAGACGTGAGTTTACTCACATCGCATATATTAAATCCGATTCCACATAATAATATACTGATAGTAAGGAATAATATTTTGCAGACTCTATGTTATTATGAATCCTTCTCGATTATGAACTTCGTTTTTTTAAGCAAATGGAGGGAGATTTAAAAGTGCATTTATTATATTTTACTTGCTTTAGAACTGTTCTTAGTTGTTTATATGTACTTTTATTAACACATTCGCGCGAGTATCGTGCTTTGATCGATTGACGAGCTGTGGCAGATATTTTTCTCATACATTTATGCAAACGTTTTCAAACGTTTCGTCTACAGACTATTAAATGAATGTCGCAAATAATGATACTGACGTCAATAAACGTTGTCGTCTATAAACCGCCCGCCGACCATGCGCGTGTATGCCAGCGATCATTGATGGATATGTGTGAGTAATGCTTACTTATCCAGTGAAATTTCGATACTGCGTGTTGCTAGAGATTGAATATTTTCTTATGTTCTAGAGCAATGGCTTCACTATTAAGATTTTGTATAGCCAAATAGCGTTGTTTTCGATGAAATAAAAGAAATTAAAAGACGTGATAATATAGTAGTTTGTGGCGGCATAGTACGTAGCTTGCGCGAAAGTGTTAAGTTGCCTTTTGTATTTGTGGGTATATAGATATGTATACGCATGTATAATTTCAGTGCCAATTATTGTGTTTTTAACTAGGTATCTGTCGTCATGAATTCGTCGGTATTATTGTGCTACACCGAACATTTTTCTCCACGTCGCTTGTCACGTCAAACATGTGAGCATTTTCAAATTATGAGTTTCGGCGGTTTCTATATACATTCTTGTATGTGAAATATTCAGAACCCAAGTATATTAATTACTTGCTCATCATGCTCCACTAATTATGGTAAACTGTAATCAATAACAATTGACGTGATCAACTAACGCGTCAGGCCAATATAGTCATTTATATAATATCGTGATTTAAACTACACTATCAGTGGCCGTGTTTACTAGTTATTTATTTACGGACACTTTGATTGATTCTCATTTGTCGAGATACATCACGTTTTCCGAAGCGACAGCTTACTGGTGGCCTTCGTCAAGCACGGAATAGAAACGTTTGATAGTGTCAACAAAATACAATTAAAGTTCAAAAGCAAAATTTATAATTAATTTTTTCAGTGAATCTACGACTTATGACGGGAAATTACACAAATTACATACCTACTGGGTACACCGAAGGCACTACTCAGAATACAACTAGACCCTATTCAACAAAAGTCAGCTCTTTAATTAGATTTTATTGGAAATGGAACTCTTCACCACTCATGTGATACGCATTGCGTTGAACCGCTAACTCATTTCGATGAGTTAGCGGTTCAACGTATATTATAAAATATTTATAATATACGTTGATACGTTGAGATACGCCAGGTAGTTATAAAATATTTGAGATCTGAATAAGTACAGATAAAACTTTATATGAATTTTGCGCCATGAACTACCCACTAGACGTGTCATAGCACATAGTAATTAGCTCGTCGACACGACATATGGACACTTTTAGTTCATTTCCAATGTAATATTCCGCGTAATACAATAGTCCGCATTTTACTTAATAAAATGCCTCGGACTGAGTTCTAATTATACTATAAATACTACGCAAGCATTTAACGACACATTATGATATGATTATCATGTGGAGGAACTGAACGATTAACGTAACAATATTAATGAATGACTCGATTTATGTAATGTACATCGCAACTGTACTTGATTGGTCAAATCTTAAAATTCTGATTGTGGTTTCAATAAGACAACCTTAATATATTACTGAAAATGCTCTAGCGTACTGTATTAATCCTTAACTAAATGCACAACTACAATTGTAAACACTTGACAGTCACACACATGCAATAGCCTCCTCTTTTTCATCCCACTAGAGATATGTGAAAAGTGTCGACTTCAAGGTGCCAGTGGAAGCAATTCGACATGTTGTGTCGAACGAGTAAGTGGCCATTGATGCTAATTGTGCGAAATCGCCGGCGCCCGGCTGCATCTTATATCTGCAATACAAGATATTTGGATGCCAAGCCAAAGGTGAAAATGTAGAAAGACACATCGACACACAGACTCGTCAATGATGCAACAAAGCCAGAATACAGGCGGAAAGCTAATCGACAGTCGCTAGGGTGTCGCACGTACCTAAGTAAAAGCTCCCTGAGTGTCGCTTCGTCCTCTTCCGTCGTCGCATATCGTGTCAGCTTGCCGCCGCCCTCCCTGGCCACATGCTCAGGTACCACTGCGTCAAAACTCGGTTTTACATTCATGGTGGTCGACCGCGCGACCGATAACCTGCCTGGCCGCGGTCGTCGCTAGCCGCTTAACTGCCGCGAGTGTCCGCCTCCCTCAACCGCTCGAACCGCGTGTGTCATCGCGGCATTTATAAATAATTTATAATTTTAAAAAAAGCGGGACAGTAACGCTTGATTGAGCGGAAGCGTTACTGTAGAGGGTGTGATTGCTTGTGTGCGGGACAACTACTGCGTATTGTCATTTGGGTATTTTTACATTGCGTGGCAATTCTCTCATTTGTTTTTATGTGAGTAGCCGAGCCCAACGTGGCATGAATCGAATCGAAATATCTCCCGTATTGCCAATTAGCTTCAATGGCCACGACACGCGGTTCCTAACAATTTGGAGATGTTAGCGATCACCGCTAAAAGGGCTGGTAAGATCAAATAAACAAGTTGGTAACTTCCCTAAAGCACACTCAACGAATACAAGAAATAGTTATTATATTCAATAACGGGATTTATTATATATTCAATACTGTAATGTACAGAGATAGATATTTATAGTTCTGTAACATCAAATACATAAATACAAATGAAGTATATCGTACATTTCAATATCAAGGACAAAGATTGGGTATCAGATATACAACACTCAAACAAAATTTGTAATCTACGAATTTGGCGGTAGTAAATAAATAATAATTAGAACTAGAACCACAGACATATATCTAAACAGACATCGCAACTACTGCAATGTGTATGAAAACCAAGCTCCACATTTTTTGTACTACCGATGACGTCACAAGCGCTATTTAGTTATGGAAAACCTCTTCGACACTAAAGCGATTGACTAAATCGAAGATGCGGACGCAGCATGTATTTAGAATAATGGTTTTATAAGAAACCGTGAAATATTTATATAGTAAAATAATACCAGAGTAAGACAGTTAAGTCCTTTATTAATACGTGTTTTGAAAAAGAAAGTTGCTCCGGAAAACAAAACAAAAACCAATCCTACAGAATATTTTTACAACTGAACTATCTCAAGAATTATCATCTCTTTGTTATCAGAATCGAGAACTGTGTTGCATAAAGTGAACATCACTAATCGTAAAATTTGACCAAAATATGACGAAGCGGCCGTACCACAAAACTGAATGCATTATACGAAAGTATTGCTCGTTCGATATTCATGGCGTACAGAAGGACCACCAGTGTACCGCACCAAGTAAAAGCCGCCTTTACTACGAATCACGCAGTATACACTCCATTGCATATTTGTTTTCTCGAAATACATTCAAAATGAAAATAATTGATTTTAAAATAAATTATGTATATTCTGATTACAAAATGACATAACTGTGGAAGGAAACGTCCCTGTTTAATTATCTTCTCGCAAATGTGGTATTTTTGTAGTTGCTAATGACACAATTTTAGGCATTTTTCGCGTTTTCGACTGATGTCATGATTTTCGTAGCTAACTACGAAAACGGCCGGGCGCGTTCTGAGCGTAGCAGCGGCAACTAAGCGTTTGTAGCTTAAATTTGGCACGCAAAGTAGGTACACTTGCGGCGTCTATTTAGATATATGTCTGTGACTAGATCCAAGCCCGTTTAAATTTAAAACAATTTGTATAGCACTTTACTTGATACTAAATATGGAAAACCATGTAACAGACTGATTTATCTATATTTCTACGCAATTTTCCGACAATATTAACACCAAAGTTGAACACAATATTTACAAAAGCAACCTAGTCCAGACTAATTCGAGTTAAAAAGTGCGGTAACCGACATTTTCAGATAAAAATATCTATAGTTTTTTAATTAACGACTAAAAAATTCTTCCACATAGTTAATAACTGAAACAGTCACTAATATAATATACGGTGTTGAAATCTTTAACAGTTTTGTGAAGATTCTGCTCTTCAATAACTGCGACCATAATATGTAACATTTGCAAATTCAATAAAAGACTCATTCAAACTTCCATACAAACTAAACAGCAAATGTGAGTTTAATTGAAAATTTCAAGTTTATTATAAAATTCTGACAAAGATCTCTTAAATATTGCTTTTTGGTAACGTTTCCTTTAGGTATATCTATTTCTTTCAATTTCTTAGAATATTTGCCGGTGATGAATACAATGTGGCTGCGTATTCAAAATAGCAAACGTTATTACTACAAGTTGTAGTGAACCGTTCTAGGTTCCACGTTATAGAATTTGCACCATTTTTAACTGTCAGTCGTTCATTCCTTAGAAGCCAACGTGGGTAGGTAGCTGCCTGGAGCAATACAGAGCTTCTTTAGTAAAGACTGGCAAAGTAGTTCGTCTCTCGCCTCGAATATGTAGTGGAATTTTAAATATTTTATTTATTTTGTCTTCTATTGATAGCATGAAAATAAGTACTTAATGCCATCAAATGTTGTTACCATCGATGAGCTCTAACATAATTTGATGTGTGTGAAATAAAAACATTGATGGTTTGTTCTCAGTGATGGTTTATGCGTAGACAATGTAGTTACCTGAAATTTGATCAATGGGTGAATAGAGGGGAGGCTCGTCCACGCCTCCCTGCTGGTGCTCGAGCAGACGATGGCAAGACTGTCTCATGAGCGCTCCCACTGAGGACAATATTTTACGTCAACTCTTCAATAAAACAACGAAATTTTACATATATTGTATATCAATGGTGAAGAGCTGCACAACACACCCACAGGGTTGCTTTAAGATTGGGTTAATTGTGGCATAATATAATACACCAAAGTACATCAACAACATTTTAACTTTTATCAAACGAAACGTCTGCCTGCTTTTCAAATATGTATGAATACCGGGTGTAATCGTTAAGTGTGCCCAGGTGATTATTCCGTATATAGGTATAAGAGATATCAAAAACCTTATGTGCTGTCGATTGTACTTTCAGCACAGCAGGCTATACACCTTTGTTCAAATATCATCGCCAGTGCAATGGAACAAGATCCGTCAATGTATAGCTTGATATGCTGATGTCTGTAAGTTACCTAAAGTAAAACGACATCAAGAACTTTAAAAACAAAACTACAGATATCCAAAATGTTAATCTCTCCCATACATTTAATATGACATTCGTAGAGCCTGTGGTTTCTCTACTTCGAAAAACTGCTTTGAATACAAAATTTTATACTTTTTTAAAATAAACATTACTTTGTTTTTATTTAATTAAATGATAGTTTTATTAGTTTATTTAAAGTAGTTTCATTATCTATAAACTTATTGTTACCTCTTAAAATAGGAACACTAAAACTGCGAATGTCATATGGAGATGGGAAAATAGGAGCGATTAAAATAAAAATGTTGTATATTTCTAGTTTTATTCTTAAAAAGTTATTAATGTCAATTTACTCATTAGGTAACGTACTTTCGATATCAGTTTAAAGGTTTTTGATGTCTCGCCTGGACATACTTAACGATTACACTCTGTATAACGTATGGGCCAAACGCACTTGGGTTTAAGTTCTAATTCAATACTTGCCGTGGTAAAATACAGTCCAGTGAGCAATTGTCTCTCACTGCAGAGAAAACACGATCAACTTTCGTATAGCTTTAAATTTGCTTATTCATAAGATATGTTTATACTCAATTTCATTTTTATTTGATTGCGACTGATATGATGTAAGTAATTAGCGTTGTACTGGTGCAATTGAAAAGGGAAGATTGCTTTATTGCTATAAGACAACAAACTAATAGTGCGAGTGTGATATTCTACAGTAATTAGTAGTCTAAAACGTATTGCTTTTTATTAAAAACAATAATGGCAGTAAATAAACAAGTTTTTTATTGAAAATTATAATAAAAATAAATAAATGTGGGAAATAATTGTTCCAGTGATAGTTTGTGATTTACGGTGTTTTCGTTAATAATATCATTAGTGGCGATATCGTTGATTTAATGGCTCTTTCCAAAATATCCAGACTTTGCCACAGATTTGTGTACACACATCAAGCGGTAAATATTCGTACATATTGAGAATCGCTGAAAGGTAAAACAGTATTTATACTGCTTAATAATATAATCTTCCTTTAGAAAGATTTATAAAACAGTTTGTTAAAAGTGGCTTCATCGCAATGGACGTAGTGTTCATAAAAAACTTCAAAAAGGAGGCTTCACTGCAATAAAAATGGCATCCAAAGGATAATGAAAAAAGGTGCTTTAAAGCAATGAACGGAGCATGTAAAAAATCGAATGATAGCTTCACAGGAACTCGAAAATTTAGCGTTCATTCGATTTTCATTATTTTACAAAAAATAACGTTTTAATATTAAAATATGATAATATATTAATATTATTATTTTTAATTTTTTGTCACCTGTGCCTGTGTTTGGTATTGTGGGATATAATAAATATTATAGCAATATTAAAGCTACATCAGATAAAAAAATATTATAATTTTTTCAATCGACACAAATTTCTACGATATACAAAACAGCCACTATTAATTTACTAATACAACGGAGTAAATAGTGTAGTACTTCAGTGTACAAAGCAATAAAATTGATAAATGATTGTATAATGATAATACACAAAATATAAAAGTAGTTTTTATAAAAATATGTGTCTTGGAATAATAGTTACGTAATTTTTTTCCGCCAGAGGGCACCGTGAAGCAAGCAATCCGGATTACATTCTATTTGCTTAAAATTATTAAAATTGATTATCTTCGACAATCGGTTAAAAACAATATTGTGTACGTAAATATTATGTACGTTTGTAAACCTTTTTATATAGTAAATAACTCAAAATAATATATCAAAGTGTTAAGACTGTATCACTTTAAAAAGACTTAAAATCAGTGTAATTTTGTGACAAAATCATTATAACAGCTAATATTAAATGAAATAGTATATATTTGCAAAGGTTAATTAAGTGAATCATTGTTTATTTTAACGATTTAAAAAAATATTTACCCGTCACATAAGTACTAAACGTTTAAAATGGTAAATTGGACCCTGTTTAAACGTGATAAATAAAATCTAAACTTAGGGCGCTTCATACACACGGTTAAATTCACCACTTCAAGCAGCGTCGTTGCCGTTGTAAGTGTTTTCTTTCGAAATACAGTATGGTCTTAGGTGTTATTAGGATTTCTTTTATTAAAACATTTAAGAAAGCTAAAGTACCACAATTCTCTTGTTCCTTAGTATATTGGATAAAGAACATATAGCTGATATCAAACACCGTTGCGTAAACAAGTCTGCAGTTTGCGGGCATGTCATGGGTAAACCTTTAACCAAGTTTGACAAACCCCAGGTCCAAAAGAAGTCCGTTATCTACCCAGGATGCTGCGAGAGACCATTGGCCAAATTAAAAAACATCCTAATTTCAACAGGGAAGATGGTTTCTCCGTACCACCAGTTTGGGATCCAGTATTTCCTCTGATGAAAAATCCCAAACAGACATAAGACTACGGTACTAATTAATATGTTTCAATTTATTCTAATTTCTATTATTAATTAAAAACTAATTGAACTCAATAAAAATTCATTCAATAAAATAATTTGTAAAACGTAATGTAGCGTAAATTGGAATATTTTCTTTGTAAAATTAAAACTGAGGTATTTAATTAATAACTTTTGTAACTATAGTGAAAACATAGGGTGGTTTGCATTAATATTAGACATCTGGTTGACGACTATACCATCTCAGTCAACCGTGACCATGAGACCTGTAAAGGGCGCGAAACGTCGGTTTGTTTGAAAAAACAAATATACGCGATTTAAATCCGGAAAAATAGTTTCATTTCCTAAATAAGGAATCTGTTTTTTGTTTATTTTTTTGACGTAGATTTGCAAAAAAAATCACCTTAAAAATAAATAATAAACTGGACTTATTGACTGGAAGTATAATTAGATTTTCGAGTACAGTTTTGATTAAGAAAAATCTGTATAAAATGTAAACGTTGTGCACAAAATGTAATAGTACATTATGATATAAGTGCGGTAAGTTGAAAATTATCGGGCTAGCAATATCGCCTCGGCTGTAATTTTCAAAGCGCACGTATGTCATACGACGTTTTATAACATATTTGCGAGGAAATAAATAAGACTCTGACTTTCTTAAACGAATAAATCTTTAATTACTTGTTAAAGCAGTTATAGTTTGAACAATTTTTAAAAGTGATTGTTACGTTGCCAGTTGGCATTTTTAATGTTGTCAAGTTATTATTATTACTTACAATCTCCCCAGTCTCTCTCTCACTCTCTTGAGTGAAAGTAGGAGAAACGAGACCACAGAGTTCTGCAGTCGGTGGCGGCGGCGGAGGCGGTTGCGGCTGCGGCGACGATGGTGGAATGTACGCGTGTGTGCTCTTAGATGGTTGAAAGTCAACACTTGACTCCAAATTTATGTACCTTGTAATGCGAGAGCTAATTTCTTCTTTATTTTTTATCGAGTCTTCTATTTATCCTTCGGCTACATTGCTTGACCGCCATCCTCCGTGGCGTTTTAGTGTCAATAAGTCCGCACCTGAATCGGCGAGCAATGTAGCCGAGGACCTTCTAAAACTGTGCCCTGTGTATTCATGTGCTTGAGGCAAATTTAAGAAAGTGGCAATTTCTTTCGGCATTGTTCCCAATTTATTAATGCCAATGGGTTGGTTAGTGCATTTTCAATTTTGGTAATTTTGAAAAAATCTGTTGGAATTAGCTCTTGTCGAACGAAGCGCTTCGTATTTCTTCACTACGTCGTAAAAAGGCCCCTGTATTGTGAACGACCTTGGAATTTTATTTTTTGTGTTTTTGACCTGGACAAGGAGAACCCGCCCATGGTTCTCGACATCATTAGTTGTTATGTTTGCCAACTCTTGACGTCTACATGGACCATTTATACCGAATATTAATACAACCTGAAAAGAGATAAAAAGAACGTATAAACACCTATATTGTAAAGAAATACGAAAGTGAAAGAAATTAATAACAATAATTTAGTTTTAACTGACCTTTGTTGCCAAATATCCGGAGCTTCTTTTAGGAACTTCTTGATATTGTCATCCGAAAATTCTTGTGACTTTTTACTTACATGGCCATCTGAGCGTCTTTTTAAAAATGCTATCAAGTTGGAGTATGACTTGATATCAATGCCATGGTTTGTTTTCATAGTGCTTTTTAGCATTGAATAGTAGCACCACAATGAGCTTGACTTATATTTTTGAGAAAGTTCCATGAAATGAAAGGCTAAAAACACATTTTCTGAAAATGAATTTGCATCTTTGCTTGTTCCATATGATGAAATTTTGATACGCTTGTAAGTATCTATCGGTCGATTTTTCAGGTAAGAGGCTTAGAGTAGCCTTTTTTGCTGCGTTTAAGAAGAGTTTTTTGTGGCGGTGTCAAATTAATAAATTCATCACTACTTGACGACATTTTCAAATAAAAACAATACAGCGAAAAGAAAAAGCGCGCGAAATAATTTTTACTTGTTCACAAATTAGCCATGCGCGCGCATCAACTTTTTTTTTTAGGTAAAGGTATAAAAATAGCCAGTATTACTAATAAAGTAAATTAATATTTTTGTGTTTTTGTTACAGATAAATGGTTGTAACTTATTGTCAAAATTAATTAAATGAAAGAATTAAATGTTTATTTAC